GGTGCTCTGGCACAGAGGCTGAGTGGCTAATTACTCTCAGTAGAAGCGACTGAAACATTTACTCCATCCTGTCCCGGGAAAATCCCAGGCACAGTAGCCCAGATCAATCTGGAGACAAGGTGGAAACTTTGGGTTCAAAAACAATAAGCAAAGACAACAAGTTACAGAGGGCAATAAAATAGAGGGAGAAGTCCCCCCCGAAAAAAAAAGCTTTTTAGACTCATGGTTCAAAAAAGCCTATGTCATTCATAAGAAAGGTCAATTGATAATACTAAAACTACATCAGATGCTTTAATCAGGAGCGCCATCGCGAGACAACAGTAGTAAGGATTTAAGGAGAGTGGAGATGGCATGGCCCATGTGAAAACACACTGGTATCCCACCTAGCGCAGTGTCTGCAGCACCTCTGTTGCGATCGACCTTATCACCTTATCGGTCACCGATATGACTGGGGATCACTGATCTGATCTGACCTGCCGGTGGTACCGATCTGACTGGCAGGAGAGAGATCCCAGTCTGGGAAGACCGACCCGAACTTGGGTATCAAGCTTCGTTTCGCCCCGTCCCTCTCGGACGACGAGCCCTACATCCCCATGGCCAAGCCAGGCCCTGTTTTCTGCCGCTGAACCAAGCCTTTGGGATCTACGGCAGATCTTGAGACAGCGTGAGGAACTCCTCCGGGTCCGCTGCACTACCAGCAGACCGCAGCAGACACCAGAACAGACAACGCGCACAGATTCAGACATATTTAAACGCCTCGGATCGCTTCCCGGAATGAAATCGAAATGCCCAGGCTTTTTTATCCCAGGCCAAATCTGTTTAGAAACGTTAATAACGGATTTTTTTAGTCCAAGCCAACAGTTCAAGTGAACGATTCTACGTGGGCAGGCGGGCGTCGGTCTCTTTCTGTCAGGAGGGGGTGCAGAGGCTCACCCAGAGCGGGGAAGGGCGCTGGAGACCGCGGCCCGATCCAGAGAGACAGGCCCCTCATCCTGCGCCAGGCTGCAGACAGGAGACGGGCTCCCCACGGCATGCTCCAATTCAATTAACACAGATGACGAACGACCCCCCCCCCCCAGCGGGGAGACATCTCTTCTGCGCTCTGCCTCGGGCACCACATAAATTTCCGGGGCGGAATCGCTCTCTGCCCCTGACACGCCATCAAATATTCATGAACAGACTGCAACGCGCAGCCCAGGAGACGGAGTGCCGGCGTGGCGTTTGTGAATTGATCAGCTATCAGCGGCAGAGCTGCAGGGAGTGACAAACTAGTCGATCCAGCCCGGAACCCACCCCTCGCCAGACCACCGGCGTGGCATTAAAAACAATGTCGCTAGATCAGAAGCAGTCTAATGTGAGAGAGGGACAGGTAAGGACTGTCGATCTAGCAGGATCAGTGTGAGAGAGGGACAGGTAAGGACTGTCGATCTAGCAGGATCAGTGTGAGAGAGAGACAGGT